CCGATCAATCACGCTTTCGTGCAGACAAAAACATTTTCTTTAGTCGAGAATATTTACTAACCACAAGAAAATATATTTGGCATTAGTAAGTCTTATGGGAGTATTTACACAGTGATTGCCAGATTTGCTGGTACAATATTCTTGGGAAAAATAATTTTTTTTCTCAGTGTGAATGATGTTTATAGCGTATTGAGACTTGGCTGTGATGTAGGACAGGCTGGGGCATTACGGGGGACCTAAGAGAACATCAGCCAATCCGGTTCGTCCATCATGCCCAAATCTCTTCTTTTCGACTCATTTTTGAATCTTGGAATAGTTAATTCAGTCTCCAATAGACTGGGGTTGGGGTAAGAAAGGAGTTTTTAATCATTCAATTTTGAAAAGAGTCGTCATCTAGTAATTCTGATGAGAATTATCATTACCAAAGGTTCAAGGGGGGGGGGGGATCATTGCTAGGAATTCCAAAGCTTTGAATTCTAGATTTAACCAAGCTTGACCCCATTGTTGAAGTTAGCAATTCCGCACCTGAGCACTGTACATACACATACCTTACGGTATAGTGGTGCAGCCTTCTGCTACGATTCCTGCAATTGTAGTGCATCAACCCAAATGTGCAATGCCTTAGGTCAGCAGCGATGTGAGTAGATGTGCCAGCGAATTTCTTGACCTGTCACATGATCGTCACTGACACGTCACATTACCTACCTGCGGTCATCTCGTATCAAAATGGTGGCGCCACTTAAGATGCAGATTAGATCATCTCATTGGCAAGATAATTTCATAAGATGATCTGAATAGTTTGATAAGTTCATTGTTGTCAATCTACAACAAACATCAACGTATATTACGGTTAGAGCATTTTACCACTGAAGCTGAAGCGCCAATTACACTCGGATAAGTTCTGAGTTACGATTACATAAACATAATTTACGATCGGCAAAGTCATAAATTGTGTCTATGTAATCGTAATTTACTGTGACTTTGTATTCTTCGAGGCTACACTCCGTGTCGTATTTCAGAACCCTCCCAGTGAAGTATCTATCTACCATCTTCTGCAGGTACTCATGTACTTTGAACCCCACTAGACCCACCATGATACAGTCCCACTTTACTGAATGAGGGCCTCAATGTCCAACCTTGCTCATGGCTAGTACTTCTTCATACCCCTAAGCCATTTCGTCCCTGAAATCGCCCCCCTGACAGGATCGACGAGGTTGATTGCATCCGGGGTGAACTAATTCGTGATTATAACTTGATTAAATCCGAAAACTATATAACATTTAATTGAAAACGGAAGAATTTCTAGGACATGTCAAAGTCAAGACTATGGCATGTTATCTTCGAAAGATATTTTTTTTCTCGTAAATTTTTTGAGAAATAATTTTTTTTGGGTTCGTTTAACCGAAGGTTAACGGACATAAAAAGTGAAAATAAATGTTAATCCATTTTTAAGAATGTCATATAGAAAATACATACGGGCTAGGTTCTTTCTTTCTCAAGGGAAATCTAAAGAGCACGAAGAACGGAAAGAATTGAGGAATCTTTTTTCCTTGTTAAAAACCGTTTAAAAATTTTCGTAACAAGTGCAGGCAGTATCGTTGGTCATGGGTAGTTTGGGATGGTGGAAACGGTCTGAATGACCTCAAGGTCAGGTACTTATGAGGGCCTAATGGTGAACATAACCATAATAATTTTCTGATTGGAACGTTCATGAAGGTCGAGCTGTTGGGAGTGCCTGAAGGTGAAAACATAAAATATGATGACAAGGGTCAAACAAAGAGAAACAATAAATGTTCGTGTTGGTTTTCGCACATGATGACAGTAAACACCCGAAGAAATAGAACAATAAATTCATACTGCTCTATTGAATGACTTAAGTATGCTTTGTTGGTAGTTAAATAGTTCTAAAATCACCGGAATTAGAAGGTGAGAAAAAATGAATTTTTGAATTTTTAATTGGTAAATCGGTTTTTTGTACTGAATCCTTTCTGCATCCACGAATACACTGTTCTAAAATTATCAGTAAAGTTGTGTAAATTATGGTTGCTGCAACTGTTATAATCTTTAAAATATAAAAAATTGAAAATTTCTGACAATTTCGGTGCAATGGATTATCTTTTATGTCTGAATTTCGATTGATGGAAGTGCAATTTTTCATTTTTGCGCGTAGAATTCTATTTACATCAGATCTTTACCAATTTTCGCATTAAGAAATGGAATTCGAGATTGCTGTGAAGTTTAATAGAAATAATGAAAACTCAAAATAATTTTCCAAAACAATAATAGATTGTACAGATTTATAGATTGTATAGATTTGTACAGTTGATGTTTTCGGTTGGATACTTTTTTTTCGCATTTTGAAACTTCTCTCGCTGATAGAACGGTTAGATTATATGAAGCAAACGTTCGTTTGAGCATTTATTTTTAATTCTTCCATCGGAATCGGCGATTCAGTCATAAATGAAACAAATAATATTTCATTAAACTTTTAACTGTTCAACTATATTTGGTTTTATTGAATTTTTCTGTGGACACGAACCGCCAACCGAGGAAATTGAGCATTTGGTCATAGTTACCGAATTACAGTTGGTTCAACGCGCCATCTAGTTGAGAGACAGTGTATTACCTAACCTAACTATTACCTAATCATTCAATTGGTCGATTCAGCTGGTTCTATTTAATTATGTCATTAGGCAATAGTTACCGCTGTCGAACGAAATGTCTTTATTTGAAAGCTTTCAATCAATCGAACCCCGCGAAAATAGAATGTGATTCTCGATATTCGAAAAACACAGAGCAATTTCATCGTGCACGAATGTACCCTCCAAATACGCATAATTAATACAGCAATCTCTCCACTCCCCCTTCCATAAACAACTCCAATAATTCCACCTCCACTCTCTGGCATTTATTTTTCAGCCGTTCATTTTGCATATTCACCTGTCACTGTCAATGAGTAAGCCGAGAAGATCCTGAAAAAGGATGAACAAGAGCCTTGGCATTTTATCCCCGGCGAAAGACAGCCTCTTTCTTTAATATTTAACCAGCCTCTTTAGTTTCCCACAACAGCCTCTAATCACAAATAATAATCTTTATTCTACCTCCAGGAAAGACGAAAAACTCTCATCCATTTTTTCTTATTTATCCTCCCCTACCCGTTTTTATTTTTATCCTCTCCCTACTCATCCACTTTTTTTTTCTCATTTTCGTTTACTTTCTTGCATTTATCCAACTACATAGTCCTTCGACCTCTCCATCCGTTCTTTGATTCTACTAAGACTGGATCATCCATCTTGATAATCTCGTGGCAATATGAAAAGCGCCGCGGGGTAATTCTCCGTCCTTGTCCCTCAGTCTCTCTCTCATTCTTTATGTACATTATTTCATACTACACTCCATTCTTTATTTTTCTCCATTTTTCTTCATTTTTATTCCATTTATATCATCATTTTCCGCCATTATTATCCTTTCTTTTTCACTTTTTATTAATTTCCCTTTTAAATTGAATTAATGTAAAATGTTTCTTCCCCGCATTTCCCTGAAAAATACACTTTTCTCGGGAGATTCAACTGTTACCCTTATTACCCTTATTATGAAAGTAGAAACACAAAAATGAAGTTCGCCCGAGTCGAAATATCTCGAAACGCGTAAGAGTAATTCCTCATTGGTCGACACGAACCGCCAAATTCAAATTCGGCACACGAAGTGCGCAATAGATCCCGTAGTAATAATAATACAAACATTCAAATTACCTTTTACAGAAGAGAAAGTATCACTTAGCAACAATGAGAAATTGTTTTTTGTGTCAATTATTCATTGACTTGACGAAATTTTCTATTTTTCATAACTTATTGTTTCCTTCCAGTAATTTACAGAGAGTCCTCCTTAGGTTTCAGTCATTACAATTATATTGCTATAAAAAATAATCATGTTAATGAGAGCTATGAATGTACTCTCTCCGTAATTATTAACCTGAAAAAATGAATTGATGTTTTTTTCTCAAGAGAGTATGAAAATAAACATCATCCAGCACAAGCTGCTTGTCATAATTAAAATCCGCTTTGGATTGTCTAGAAATAATTCGACTGAAGAAAAACAATTTCTTACATATTCTTAATTCTCTCATATAAATTGATATTATTGATATTTCGCCAAAAATCTTTCGCGCAATTTCTATGGAACATTTTTCCCGGGGATTGTAAAAGTTTCAGAAACAATTTCTGGACAATGCACCTAATATCTCGATTCGCTTATGGACCTGGAATTTATTATTTATTCATACGGTGAAAATATTTTTTCATAGAAATAGTTCATGGTATTACGGAATGTGGAGAGGCCATTATACGATGGCGTGTGAGTGGAACGCAACGAGAGCACTATATAGTCGTCACCTAGGAGAAATATGACCGGTCAAGTACTATACATGTGGCTTGCCTAACGTTAGCTCTTATCGATCTTTCATCGTTCGTGTCTGCCACTAGAAAATATGTATTGCGTATTGAATACCTCCCGGGTAGAAATTTTGTGAGGCGTCTCACAAGGTCTTAATAAAGTTGCCTAGATTGGAATGTAAGGCCCTCATAGGGTACCTGCTGAAGCCCAGATCAGAGCTGAGAAGCAAAGGCTGAGGTCCTTCATCTGACCAAAATTATCAGGTCCTCAAATGATTCACTTTGCCCTCACAATATTTTTTTATAACATTTTATTTCTGTTAGATGACAGAAACTTTATGCAAATGAAAAAAACAATTATCAAATGGATGAAATGATTTCGATGAATAATTCGTTCATTCGATTGGGTGATATTCATATCAATGTGATTACATTATGTGGTGGGTTTGGCGAACTGTATTCATTCACGTGGATTTGGAAATAAACTAATGGAATTAAAAACATTTTCCCTTGCTATTCATTCCTAATGAGTGAGATGAAAAAACTATTTCGCCTGGAAACACACGTTTTTCGCTGTTGAAATAATGTTAATTATTTGATTTGTTTCAGGAAATAACTGGACTGCGATTCAACAAATTACAATGCTGTTCACCAACATGCGTTAAGCACTTGCCGTCTAACATAATTTGGTGAGTACAACCCCTTTCCAACCTTTTTTTTGCGCCGATAAAACAGGTCGTGATTAAAAAATGGTCTAATTAACCCAACGCGAATAACTAATCACTATTAATAATAATCGTAAGGATCACTAATGATCATTATATGATGATGCTGCGTACGCGGGATTATTTCTTTTATGAATTACTAATTTGTTATAATCACGATTAGTGCATGTTTAACGTTTTTTTTATTCCGGAGGAACGCGTTGCAGTCGATGAAATTGAAATTTCTCATTTTTTATGGTAAATCAATTTAATGCGACTCGAAAAGTCCTGAAATGCAATTTTCGTGTGCGTGTTTGGAACAAATTTTTCAAACTCCATCTTCAATTCGACGTTAGCATTTCTTTTAAATTGAATAAATTTTTCCTCACATATAAGTATTCGTTGATATTATTTAAAACTCCATTCATTAATAAATTAAAAGAAATTTCGAGTCGTTTTTAAAATCAAATTCTTACGGTAACTGAACAAAAATTTTTGAAAAATTCCAATGATAACTCAATAAATTTGGTTTAACATCTTGTTGAGCAATTTTAAAGATTAAAATACTAAAATACTAAAAATGATATCATAATGATATATGATAAAAATGATATATAATAAGAAAGATTATTCAAAATTAATTTTTCGGAAATATTTACTTCAATCGACACAGAAAATAAAATGATAATTTCGGTGCCGAATTGTTGAAATGATGAGATAATTATTAATAATAATTATACTATATATAATTGAAGAGTAATAATGCCGTTGTTTTATTATTATTTGGACTTTTAACACAAAACATCTTGAATGAATATTAAATTGATGATCGGGTGTTCATCGAGTCCCCAAGCGATCGGCTATTGGGCCGATGTTTAATCATGTTGTATATATGTGCATGAGTACGTATGTGCATTATAAATCTTGACAAAAAAGAGGCGTTTCTTTTTTGGGCATATGTACAGCTCACGAAGGGTGTCATGTGGCGGGCGTGCAGTCGTTTAACCAACCTGCCCTGATCTTTAATACATGAAAGGGCCATAATGTTCCAAACACATGCGCATACCATATCATGCATTAATATCGGTAAAATTAGTGGAAAACGATTTGCCAAAAAATTCAGACTTCCCATCTAGGATTTTCTCACTCGCCATTAGCATGCACGGGGGGAGTTCTAATTTTATGTACACGGAAAGACTTAAACGTAAATTAAAGTTTTTACGATTGAAGTTAAACTATCAGTTACACCGTAAATTACACTAAAAATCGTCGTAAATTATAATTACATGAATGGAGGCGTTAAATACGATTAAATTTTGTATTTTAGAGGAATTTATTTAGTAGATATTTCAGTTAATCATTAAGAAGGCATTTCATTGTTTAAAAAATTACACTAATCCATTATTTTTTCAAATATATTCGAATAATTTTTCATTTTAATATATACACCGAAATTAAATCGGATTTGCTGAGAATCCATAATTAGGTTTCACTCAAAAACGAATTTTCTTTAATTTTCAAGATGATTGAAATATTTAGTGAATGTTTAATGTTAAATTGAAAATGAACGCAAGCCTACATTATAAAAAATCGAGATGCCATTGAAATTGGAAGAAAATTTCTAGCTGTGCACTCTAAATATCACAATACTTGCATTACATATGTGAAATGATTCAACAAAAACTCGAGTGACACTCCCTCCATTTGAAAACGCACCCCACGTTCTACCTCAAAGGCTAAATGTGTAAACATCATGACTCGTCTGAAAAGAATGTTAATACGTATCATTCAAGAGGGACCGTACAAAAGTAAAGAAAATGAAAAACCGAGAAAATAAAACCAAAGAAAGAAACCCCAGACAGAGACCACCAAGGAAAACATTCGTTAACCATTCTCATAAGAGGGAAACGAAATATCTCCATGAACATTTTCATTGGACGTCTGCACTCCACGCAAGACACATTGTTGGAAAATAATGGCATCATTAACATCCCATCTTCACCATTCCTGAGTTACGTCATTTCAACTTTTCCTCGCATTTTTTAGTTGTAAAAATCCAATTAAAGATGATCAAGTGAGAGTGAAATTTAGAAAATTCGAGTGAATTCAAGTGAGAATTCGGACGGATTGATGGGATTTTTTTAAGTCGTCATGTTTGCTGGCTCGCTATTGATACACTTTTTCACTCAACAATTACTTTCGGCATATAATTAATCACTTGCAAAGAGAGTATTAACGCATTGGTATTTGTCGTTATGATTTTCGTCTAATACGTTTCTAAAAATGTATGTAATTAGGGGAGGGTAAAATGGAATTGATGAATTTTATTATTCTTAACTGTTTAACTAAAAAAGTTAAATTTCTGCATAAGAAATTTGACGTTCAGAAGCAAAAAATGAGCGACTGACTAGGTCGCGTATTTTTTCAGAATGTTGAAAAATCAAAAAAGTGAAAAGACAACAGAATAATTCAACAAAAAAATTCAATTCCCAAAAAAAATTGGGACTATTTGTGTCCTGATTTACCCGGCTCTTCCTTATGTTTAAATTTTTTGTGTATATATACTATTTTAATTTACAAATTCCAATGATGAGCACACAAAAATTGGGACGTGAATTATCATTTGAAGTTCTTAAATTGCAAGATGAAAAACCTAAATTATGGCGTTAAAAACGTGAGTTACGAGATTCAACCTCGTAAATTACAATTCCACTCTCATAATTTACGTTTTTAATTTTATAACTTGCCCGATTAGAAACATCGTAAATTTCATTCCACAACCCGTACTTTACGATTATTTTTTCGTACGGCAGATAGGGAACTTCATCAACGAATCACCGTAAAAAGGTGACTCTTCACTGAACAAAGTATAAGTTTTCCGATGTTTAAAAGTTAAAATAAAAACACCATGAATCTCAACGCCAAAACTGCCACGGAATGATAGAATGTCATTAACCTTAAAGTTTTCGTTTCTCTGTTATGACAGGAGTGAAACAAATACACAATCTTGCACACTTGTTTGACATTCTTGACAGATTTAAAAGAACGCGGCTCCTTTGTATTTCGATGTTTATTATCACACCTCAGGATCTACCCTGGAATAGAAAATGTTGAAAAAAATGTTGCTCCTAAAAAGGAAGAAATTATCACCGGAAGGGTGGAACTAAAACTCCGTAACACAGAAATGTGTGCTCGTAAAACACCACCTCGTTACTACCCCTTTTCCTCAGTCTTTCTTTCCAAACATATACGTTAATCTGTAACTCATCGGCTTAAGAGCTAATGAAACTATTCACGGGATAGTTGATAAAATGCAAAAGCCATTATTCCACATTATTCAAATTAACATCGTAATTTTTTCCTGAATAAACCTAAGTAATGATGTTGAAGAGAATTGAAATTGATGGGTCCTTCTTTCTTCGTTTCACAATAATTTTTTATTGCCCTGAAATCAAGAACAGGGTTATAAAACAAAGAACGAGTGGACAAGTTCATCTCTCATTAAAATAAATGCATCGACAATGTACGATTACGTAATTAACTCCGTCAATTTGTTAAGAAGGGAAAAAAGTGGAGAGAGTTCGTCTTCTCTGGAGTTTGTTTCGAAAGTTTGGTGCACGAGTATTACGTCTTTGCAAACATCAGAATCTCGTTAAGGCATTGGGTACTCCACTCTCTCACTCTTACAACTCCCCCGGCCTCGCCCTCTTTTCATATATATTAAATAATCTCGTGATATAATAAAACATAGGTTATGTTACCTCAAAACTTCTTGTCAACTTTGATTAATCATTTTGCTTGAGAGTTACAAAAGTAATTTATATTCAACGCTATAGCGAAACGAATATTCTCATTATCTGAAAGCATGCATATTCAATGCTGTAATTTCATCTTGTAATGATTTTTCGGGAAAGTTCGTGGCATCATTTGAATCACTTGTTTGGGGACCAATAAAGATGAGTCACTCTACCGGAAGTTTTAAAAAATCGAAATTGAAGGTCGCCCATTGGTACTCAAAGGTGAATTTTTACTACGGGATAATTCTTTTTACTACGGGAGAAAATAATAAAATGTCACGTCTTGGTTTCGGTTTTTTTCTCATGAAAAATGAAGGAAAAATTGAAATACATTTTTCATTATATATTTCTTGTCTTCTCCCCTAGCTTAATAAACTCTTTATTTCATTCAATTGAATATTTTGCTAAAATCATTTTTAGGGATAAAAATAGTTGAACTGTTCTTAAAACTCATCGACATTTTTTGGAAAAGAATAAATCTTTTTTCTGCCTACGTAATGGGTGGATTACTTTTGTAACAAAAACACTTTTCAGGCTACTAAAATAGTAGATAATTGATCGTTTCATCAAACTGTTACAAAACTTTCTGTGCAATGTTTCACTGAAAACCGCATGCAAGAAACTTTAGTTACAAAAGGCATGTGTCGATTCGGGTCGCACCTAATCGTAAGAAAAGTGTTTAAAGATCATTGGTTTGGAAAATTGAAATTTTGCCAGATAGACTGATGGCCTTGTCATTCTCCTACTCTGAGCTATGGTGGGATATGGAGCTCTCTAATATCTAGTGTTATTAACCACGAGACCTACTGCGCACTCCGTGCGCCGATTTTGAATTTGGCGGTTCGAGTTGACCAATGAGAAATTAGTCCTACGCGTTTCGAGATATTTCGACTCGGACGAACTTCATTTTTGTGTTTCAACTTTCATAATAAGGAATAAGGAATAGCATCATTGAATTTCCCTTTCCAATCTTACATAAAACAATAATTTAATCAGGAAAAGGTCAAATCAATTCTCGTCCTATTGGAGAATAAAGTTTATTATTGGTAAAATGAATGTCATGGCCAAATTAAAGGTCATAATTTCAGCAAAATGATTGACATTTTCATGGTTCATCGGATTGAAATATCATCCCTGAATAGAATTTAGGAATTCAAAAGTTTAAAGGTACAGATTCTTAAAATATAT